TGTATTTATGGTGACAAGGCATTCACTCTTCCCAAGCATAAGCCCACTGAAAAATCAATGAGCCAATCATATCAATATTGGAATGGTTTGATTAAAAAAAAAGCCATTAATGACTCATTAAAACTTTTCATTTCCAACGATTGATACAGTTTGACAAAACTGTACAATCTATTGAACAGGATTTGAGTTCAATTTACCCATTGGCATTCCCTGGACTTGAGAAACGGAAAACCCCTTTAACAAACAGGATACTTAGGTATTTCCCATCCTTCTGTCAGCTGTGGATTCTCATTTAATATAGGCTGTCCCAGTTTATCGAGACAAAAATTGGCAAAATACAGAACACTTCCTACAACCTGTAGAAAAAAAGTCAGAAAATTGTCAGAAATGTGTCAGTATTTAGGGCAGATTGGCAGCAATTCTATAAATTTAGACTGCTTGAAATACTTCCAGGCTTTTTTTTTCCCCCACTCTGTAAGAATTTACAAATAACACATGCCCACACCTGTAGAAATACGTATTTTTTCCAATGATGCAGCCAAAACATGAACTTAACTGCTACTACATTGATCAATGAGATTTAACAAGAGCTTATTTTAATGACAGCGTATATTGAATACGTAGAATGAAGAGTCAGACCTACCATTGAAGAGCACATAGTCAAGAACTTACACTAAAAGCTTCTTTCACTTTTTTAGAATTCGAGCTTGCTGCTTTACCATCCTCTTCCAAAAGAATACTGGAGGGCTGACATGAAATGTAAACATGCAAATAGTTCATTTAAAATAACAGTAAATAGAAGAGCTTCTAAGTTACTCATGTATGCAAAAAGCACAGAATATGCAATACAGCTCCTATTCTTTCAGGAAACAGTTAAATGGTAGGATGGTGATGTCTACATTAATCATAATGCTTTCCACAGTCCAAAGAATGACACAGCTCATCTCCAATGTTTTGATGAGAAATATACTGCATAAAAACGCCCTTATTCTTATCTCAAAAGCTAAGAGAAAGACAAGGAGAAGTGCATCATTTCAACCTTTTACTTAAAGTGAATGTCAAGTATAACTCCAAATTCCAAACCGAGAAGAAAGTAGAAATTTCCAGATTCTGTTATTCATCTATGCTCTGATAAAGTTGAGCCAAATACTATCAGAAAAGGGTACATTAAGTTCATACATTATGGTCTTCTCTTGATTATTTAAATCAACTTATTACTTTGCTTTTACACAAATTTCACCAGGAACAATTTCAAAGAAGCATTTTCATGGGCACAAATGATCTTTTCTTTGTCCTGGTCCTCTATCTTTGGAACAAAGAGCTATACAATCTCTGCTTTATAGTTATTTGATAGATACTTAGCAATTATCATGAAAAAACATCTGGAAATCACCTGTTTAGCAGAGTAGTATTTTAATATTCCCACAATAGGGACGCAAGAGAAGCAGCACCTAGTAACAATTTGAGATTTTAAGTACCTGTGGCTCAACATCAAGCTGTGTTTTTTCTTCTTCATTTTTCCTCTGCTCTTCGTATCTCTGAACTAAGCCAAAAATAAAATCTTCAATTTCTTGATGATACTGCCTGTAATGAAGAAGTACAGAGAGATGAAGATGTGCACAAGATTGAAACATATGCCAAATGTTTTTATTTGGTTGGCTGGTTTTCTTTTAGCATTTAACATTGCACTGATTTTGTCTGGGGTAGAGGTAATTTTCTTCTTAGCAGCTGGCATGGGCTGTGGTTTGGATCTGTGCTGGGAACAGTGTTGATAACACAGAGGGATGTTTTCCTTACCGCTTACAGAGTCAAGGCCTTTTCTGCTCCTCACCCCAACCCAGCAGCAAGGAGGCTGGGGGTGCACAAGTTGTTGGGGGGGGACGGGGGACAGGACACAGCCAGGACAGCTGACCCTGACTGACCCAAGGGATATGGGATATTCCAGACCAAATGGTATCATACTCAGCATATAAAGGTGGTAAAAGGAGTAGCTGGAGAGGAGAGACAGGCACATCTGGCACGACTGCATTTGTCTTCCCAAGTAACCCATACACATGATGGAGCCCTGCTTTCCTGCAATGTACTTACCTAGAAATGACATTGTTCATAAATAAAATCTGTAACAGAGGCCCATCTACTTTGGAGTTCTCCACATAAATTCCACTAGAACAGAACACACAGACAATGGTTACTGCATTATCTTTTACTCCGAGTATTCCCTATGTGTTTTATCACAGCAAAGAGTCAGTAGTCCTCAGAGAGAGGAAGGTTTAGCCAATACAAATTCTGTCCTTTTGACAAGTTTCTATTCATTTAAACAGAAATCTTCCTCTCTCAAGCCAAGCAGGTTGCCTGGTGTGAGGTGGCAAGAAAACAAAAGGGAACACCACACTACAGTCACGTTCTTCTGTTATAAAATCTTATAAACACAATTTTGAACAAATAAGGTCTCTTGTTCTTACTGCTGAACTTTACAAAAATGTGTTTCCTTAAAGGCTACTTATGCTTCATAAACAGATGGGTACACACAAATAAATAAAGCTACAGCAAAACAAATAAAGTTCTTGCTATTCAAGTCTAAAGGACTTTAAGAATGGTGATGACACTTTAAAAGCCCAATATCTGAGCAGGGACAGTGACAGAGCAACAGTTTCTAAACAATGTGGCAGACATTGTTCCCTCAGGCAGCTCCTGTCTCAGACAAACTCTTATTTCAAACATATATAGTTCATATAAAGCTTTTCAAGTCACATACCTAGGACGAGTCAGAATATTCAGCTTCCTTTTAAGTTCCTGATGTTAATTGACTGTTAAGGTACATTACTTTCCACAGAAGACACAGACCTCTTAATTGAAGGATCAAAGCCAACAAAACATCTAACAAGAATTCCACAGAACAAACGGGGTTTCAGACCTTCCCCTTCAGTGCACAGAGGATTATTTACAAATCCACCTGTTGCTGAAGAAACACAATCAAATAAAAACAAGGCAAGCAACCAAAACTAACCAACACTGCCCCAAACCAAAGCCCAGGGAAAAAAGGACTCACTGTGACAATCTAATTACTCTAATTCATTACATGCACTATGCTTGAATTGTCAGATTTATAGTATTTTAAAAATACCTACAATCACCACACACAAAAAGTCAACACATATACTAGTAAATAGGAAACAATAAAATCCGTTTCAGATTCCATTCTGATGCAGTATCAAGCCCTTTAGGGAACCACTCACAATTTACAGCTTAAAATTCTTTCTAGCTATGTTAAATATGGGGTTTAGTGAACATACAACTGTTTCTTTTCCCTAGGAAGTCAGAGCATCCAGCATCAAGTGTTTTAAAGGCCATCCCAGCACCAAAAACTCAACTACCTCCTCTGCCAGCGGAAGCAAGGCCGGTACGGACCTGGACGCTCTAAGGATAGCAGTTTTCAAAGAAAACTCCCTCTTAACACACGGAAGCAGAAACCAGGATAAAGCAGCCACCGCACCGAGACACGGGGAGCCCCCTCCCCGCCGAGCTCCGTTCTCATCGCCCATCAGGACGGCCAGGCTCACACTGACCGGGCCTTCCCCGACATCGGCACAGCGCCCGGCCTCACGGGGGAGCAGGGAAAAGCCGGAGCCCCTCATGCCCCAGGCTGGCCCGGAAGGGAACCGACGGCAGAAGCGGCCCCGCCGCGCCCTCCCCGAGGCGGGCCCTGCCTCTCCCGTCAGGATATTCTCCTCCCGGAGCAGCCGCACCGTCTCCTCGCGGTCCCGCAGCCTCTTGTACAGCTCCTCCAGGGTTTTGTCGGGTCTCCCCCCCACCTCCTCCTCCTCCTGTTCATCCTCCTCCTCCTCTTCTTCCTCCTCTTCTTCTTCCTCCTCCTCCTCCTCCTCCTCCAGGCCGGGGCGAGGTGGCAGCGGTGGCGGCCGCCCTTCTCCTTCGTCGAGCTGCTGGAAGAGCTCGCTGTCCCCGAAATCCACCTCAGCCGCCATCTTGTGCAGCAGCAGGAAGGGAGGGGCTTGGGGCGGGGGGACGCAGCCGCGGGGGCAAAGGGCAACCGGAGCCGCCGATCGCCGTGGCATGGAGCAGCGGGACTACAACTCCCGGCATGCCCCGGCAGCGGCCTACCATGGCGAGGCCCGCCCCAGCGCGCTGTGCGTGCTGGGAGATGTAGGCTGCCCTCTGCATGCGGGCGCGGCCCGCACGGAACGCCGGGAGCTGCAGTGCTGCAGGGGACGCGCGCCCTCAAAATGGGGGCCGGAGGGAGCCACCCGCTGTGATGCTCCTCGTGGTGGCGGGCTCCTTGCAGTCAGGCCCCATCCTGTCCTCGGAAACAGATGCACTCCTGGTGAGGCACTGCCTTGTGCATTTAATATGCTGGGGTACTGTAAGGCTTGTATCATCTACAAGTTAACACACCTTTCAAAACACTCAAGTATTAGCCAAGGGCTCCCACATCCTACCAACCTTTCTCACCACTGGTTTGGTTATCCCTCTACTAAAATTTCCATCAAATTGACCAAAAGGCCAAGCTGAGTATTCCTCACCCTGAGTCCTTATTTTAGGAAAACCCTACTTCCAAATAAGCAAAGCAAAACACTCTATTCCTGACTTCTCCAGTCTTCCTGCCATCTCTTACCTCTTTCTCAGAGGCTGGCCCAAAAGACAACATGATTAATGTAAAGGAAGACCTTAGAGAAAAAAAAAAAAGTCTTTATTATTAACCAGGGTTTCTGCACTGAATTATGTGCCTGTTGGCCCAGACCGCTAAATAACATCTACACAATGTTTCTTTCATGTTTCAAGAATTGAAAATAACTGTACAAGGTTAAAGTACAAAAGTACACAAGACAGTGGACACGAAATACCCATGTATGAGTTTATCCCATCTGCTGCTTGGTTTGAAAAGTAGAACTTTTAACTAAAAAATACTGTCCTTCTATAGTTCTGTCAAGTTTAATGGAAGTGGGTATAACCTGATTACAACACTAACACCAGTATCACTGATCTGATATTTACAAAAAAATTGTATTTTTTTCTTTTAATAAATTAAAGTCAATGCAACACCCATGCAAGCTAGAATGCTAGCTTTTTGGTGAACAAGGACCCAACAGCTGAACAAGAACCTTCCACAGTCCCAAACTTTAAATCTGCCTCTTTTCCCTCTCGTTTTTCAAACTGTATCCATTCCTCGCATGGAAGATGTGAATCCCAATCCCATTCCTCTTTGTGTATGAGTCTGTGACCTTGCCATTTCGTACTGTGCATCTAGATTTCGGAAGACCTCCTCCTGTTGTTTCAGGGTTTTGAAACTCTCTTCATCAACAGAGCTACAGCCGGCTTCATCCTCACTCTAGAAACCAGACAGAAGGAAACAAACATTAGCTGTGGTCAGAGCAGTGTTTGCAGATACCCTAAACATAACAGTTTTGCTTTGTTGATTTCCAAAGTAATCATACAAGCATTTGGCTTTATTGCTGGAACATTCTAGCATCACCTTCCCCTCCCTGTCAAGACACAAAGAGGCCTTCATCTGCTTCCTCTTCCCAACCCATTCAAATAAATGTCTCCAGTTAAGTGATCAATACAAAGCGATACTGTCTGAGGATTCTAAATACTGGTTACAGCAACCACTAATTGTAACAGTTGCCTTGCTAGGCAGAAGCACAATGAAATTCCAGAAATTAGAACTGAATTCAGACTTAGATGCTGCTTGTGAACTTTATAATACTTATTTTAACTACCTCAGGTAGTATTAGTTTAACTAACATCTTTCCGGGTTAACATGTACTTTAGAATAAATAAATCACTATGCAAAAACTACATACATATTCAGAATCCTTTACTTCTTTACCTTAATGCCCATCAGTTTTCTGAATTTGACATTTTGGTCCTTGTTTCCAAAGTTTAATTTTTCCCATATTTCTGCAGACTGTGATTTGTCCTGTACAAGTAAAAAAGAAAAAGATTTATCACCTTTAAACACAAGCTTCTGTTAACATCACAGCACAGGAGCAAAAAAGCAGTGTTAAAACTGGGCCCATTGCACAGCTGGAGGTAACAGGTTTCCAAGTCAGATCCCACATTCCTCCGCCCTCCTCACAAGAAACTTTTTGTGAAGGAACTTCAGTTAACCAGGGGTTTCAAAACACTTCACTAATTGCAAGAGCATTTGTTTGACACAGCAAAAGTCTGAAAACCTACTTGTATTTATAACTTCCACTAGCTTTTGTAATGCCTTACTCTGCTCCGGCAGAGTTACTAGCAAGATCTGCAGACTGGTTTTTGAAGCCTAAAACAGCAGAACACTCACATGAAAACTCTCTAGTCACAGAGAGGAGTGGTCAGTTAAGTCTCTCTACCTCAGCCATCACTTCTCAGTAAAAGGAGACCATCTGCATTTGATATTTAGTTGCAAGGCGAACTGGCAAAAGTAATTTTACAACCCAATTATACCTCTGCAATTTTACGCCATCAGGGTTTTTCCTGAGGCTTGTGTCACAACCATTTGCTACTTGAAGGTCTAGTTATTGTAAGTCCTTTCACCCCTGAAGTTTTACCTTGGGCTGATGTTAAGAAGAAAACTTCCTACCAGGTGTTAAAGTAATTTTGCTGGAAACAGCACTGATAAACATCCTTAAACTGAGTGAACAGTGTTTCCAAACAACTTTTATGAAAGTAAGAAAAGACAACATTACCCCTTCCTTTTTGCCTTGCCAAAGCATCTTCCGCTTTTTCTCTTGCTCAGCAAATTTCATTGGGTTCACGGCGGCTGGGTTGTAATAGCTAGGGACAGCTATTCCAGTCTCTGCTAGTGCTTTCGCTTGCAGGGCTGCCATCTGAGCTGCCATTGCTATTTGAGGAGTTACTTGTGTTCCCGATGCCAGAAGAGCAGCAACATTAATAACAGAACCTCCCGTGGCTGCAGCTGCTGTAGCAGAAAGAGAACTTGTTATCAGACAGGAAGCTCAGATTTGGGGAAAAAAAACAAACCCCAAACCAACAAACAAAAAGTAAACCCCCATCCCCAAAACCCAGACAAACAAAACCCCAGAACACTTCCCTTCATCAGAAGTTGAACATGTCCAAACAACAAATGCATGGTAAAATTATTTGTCGATTAAGAAACAAGTCTCCCACAGTTTAGTAAGCTAGAACTAAAACTGAATCTCATGTAGCTCATGCTTCTAAATGCCCCTGAGCTGGTAACAGCTTTCAAACTCTTGCTTAATGATGCTTAAAGGAATGGTCCAATAACCATCACAAAATCATGTACCAGCTTAACATACAACATTTTCATTGTATAGTTGGTAAGTGATAAGAAATCCTGGTCATTTCTTTTGGGGGTTTATGTTTGGGGCTTTTTCTTTATTTTGGTTTTGTGGGTTTGGTTTAGATTTTTTTCAACCACATTTCCTAGTTCCAGTGGTGTTTCTTACATATGGACCAAGTTAACAATTACATAGACAACCTGCACATCTGTGAACAGGACTGTCACACTCAGCACATAAGCCTACACTATTTCTCACTCACACTATTGTTTCAAAATTCATATAATACACATGGACTACCTGCAGCCATTTCCTGTTGCTTCTGTTTTTCAACTAGTTCTTTCTCTCTCTGTTCTTGCAGTTTCTTTGCTCTTTCCAGTCTGGAAGTACATGAGAATAAAAATACTTAGACATGCTATATCAACAGCAGAAGCTTATTTATATCACGTATCATGAAAATCATTAACAATTCCCAACCTTCTGGCTAACGCTTCCTGTGCATCCATAGCTGTATTTCGTCCCCGAAAGGGTGGTGGACTCGAACTCCGGCTGTGACTTCTGCTGAACCTTCGGGGCTTTTCACTTCTCTTCTTTCGGTCTCTGTAACCAAATTTAGCAGAGTTACTAAAACAATGAAGGTACATCTATAGCTTAACATTTCATAAAGTATCTGATCACAACTCTGAAAAACTGCTTAATTTGGAGACCTTTCAGTAACTGCTTCACAGAGATCATACTAGAACAGTGTAGCAGCCACATCTGCCTTGTAACAAGACAGAGCTTAAAATGGAAGATTTCCAACTGTACGATGTAACAGAACATGTAACTCTGGGTATTTGTTTACCCTCTTACACCTAGTGCTGACAACACATAGATCCTCTCTAGAGATTTTCATTCTAAAGTCCAACAAGAAAAAAAGCATCATGCAACTCTGGTAAAAGGCAACTGCAAGAAAACTAAAACGGCCAAGTTACAGGAATGCTTTAAAACCATAAAGACCTCACAGCACTGGAATTACCATAAACATCAGCAATTTGAAAAGGCCCAATTTAAAAACTGGAGTTGTACTCAGGGAAATTACTATTTCTCTTCCTTCTCTATCTTGTCTCCAAACACACTCTGGACAACTGTTTGAGGGAGGGTATCAAGCTAAATGTGAGAGCTTGTTTAAACACATGCAATTTGTGTCAGGTTTGCTCAAGAGGAACAGTGCTGTTGGGGGACTATGAAGCATGAATGATCTGGAGCCTGAAAATCTGAAAAGAACCCAGTTAAAATATATTTTTAAGCAAAACACCAAGATATTCAGTTCAATTCTCCTTTGGTAACCTTCTCCCCAAGTCCTCCCAAGTAGAAGTCATTCTTATGGCATACATATCTAATCCTATCTACGCAACAAGCACTCAAAATATGCATATAAACTACTATTAGCAATATTTCTCTTTGCCAGGATCATTAGCATCTACATTACAAGAGGTGAGGGTTTATCCCTGGTTAAGCCTTTGTCACTTTAAACAAAGAAGTCATCGATACTGGAAGCGTTCAACGAAGCTTAAATTACAGGAGGAATCTTGCACATTTTCCCCAGATTTGCCATTAAGTGTAAGTTAAGTTAAGAACAAGCACAAAGATGTTTCTGCAATTTTATACTTAAAATGTTATTATCAACCATCTGAGATCAAAGCTAACTTGAAATAATAGCTATAGTGACAACAGCCACCTGAAATGGCATTCCGATATTCTGCTTCTTCTGTTTGCAACTTGGGGAGCATCTATAAACATCACGAAATGTAGACTGAAGTTACAAAGAGATCCTTGTTTACATGACAAATCTGGTAGAATACAAAGGAGGTGAGACTTATCTTTTCATAGAAGATGACAAGATGCAGATTCAGGCACTGGGAAGTGACAGATCTGCATTCCTGAGATAAGATGTAATGCATGTTTCAAAGATACCTTCATTTTTCCCGTGCTGACTACTGTAGTTTGGTCTTGTCTTTGGTCTGATGCTTTACTGCACTGGTAAACATCAAGGAAATAAATGTTTGAGCTTTTGTATTTAAGTATTTCCATTTGAAACAAGCAGATGGTGTCATGTTTTCCACCTAGCATTTAATCAGAGCCATGCCACAAAAAGAACTGCCAGGAGGGTCTACACGCCCACAGAACAAAAAGACTAGTTTAAATGCTAGCAAGGACAGGTCACTTGAAAATGTGAGCTTGAGATTATGCAGAGAACCATCAAGAGAAGGTCAAGCTCCACTATTTACAAGAACTTCTAACTGTAACACAACAAATAATGAGGGCATTCATTTCATGGTTGAGTTTTAACAGGGTTTCCACATCATGTTTATGTAGCTTGTGAAGAGTTTGCCTTGAGACTTGCCTCATAATTCTCTTTCCAAAGGCCTCACCTGAGCCCAGAACTTGATGAAGTGTTCTAACTACTGTTAGCAGAGACTTACGCCTCACTTAAGAAATGGATTCTTGCAGTATGCCTGTCACTATCTAAGAAGGTACTTCTCCAGTTGAAGAAATTCCTAAGTTCTTGACCGTCCCTTACTTTTTCTTCCCACATTTACCATTCTGTTTCACGTAATTTGAATTCCACTGTAGAAGCAAAAAACTATTCTGGGATGCAGAGTTTTCATGAAGCCGTTAAACATAAAATGTTCAAAGAACTTTTAAAAACAAGACTGCACATCACCTATAGCAAGTGGAAATAATGAGCAAGTGAAGCCTAACACATCATGCTGAAGGTGGCTTAAACAACATTAAATGGTTTTCAAATCAAATGGCATGTGACATGCATAGCAACTGAAGACCCAGCTCTACTCACCCCAGCTGAAAGTTTGGTACAAAGTGTATGCCAAAGTAAAATAGGACACGAACCACATAATTCAACTACTTCTTCAGACAGATAAAAGTCTTCTGAACAGTTTCACGAGTGATGTAACATTACACAAGTGTGACAGATTCCCAAGTATCCAAGGATCCACAGTAATGTTGAGTAGTCATAACCAACTTCTACTCCCTTTAAATACGCAATTTAAAATCCTCTAATGAAATCACTAAATTAACTGAACACCATCAACACTTCCTTGGAAACTCTGAAGGGACACTGATTTGTATTCAAACTACTTGTTTAAACAAGTAGGAGGGAACAAATGGAACTGTAATAGTCATTAAGTCATATTTCAATTTACTCATTCAGAATATGCTGCAGGGCATTAAGAACACAAAGGTGAAACATACAAACAAGACTCAGAACTCTACACTAGAATACTGAGCAATTCATCACTATTGGAAAACATTAACTTCCAGCATATTTCCAGGGAGGCATGGATTTCAACTCTGCAAAACAGACCCAGAGTAAGCCAGGATGTGTCTAGCTAAAGGGTTTTTATCTGTGCTTCTAGAATTTAAGGAAGAAATGGAAGCAGCCAAGATAGGGAGAAAAATTAACATAATTAATATTCTCATGATGTGCATAGCAAAACGGAGTTAGCAATCACTAACACACAACAGCACATTTGGAACAGAAATAGTCCATCGAACCCCAAATTCACCTTAATGCTACACTAACTGTGACACTTCACAGACAAAACAGTTTTAAATGAACTTCACGGAGCTCATCAGGATTAGCTTCTGACAGGGTATCTCCTCTGACACTCAGCAATTCCCAGTCAAACTTCACTTTTCTGATATACAGACACAAAAGAGGTAAATACAGCGGTATTTTTAAAGCAGTGCTTTGCCAACCACACTACTCTTGCATCAAGGGTTAGCTGTAGCTTATTTTTCAGCTTTTCCGCTTAAGTATTACTTAAATATCCTATTTAAAAAGGTGAATTCAGTTGTGGTACAAGCCAAAAGAGCCTGAACTGTGGTAATCATTATTACTCAACATACTTACTTACTTCCCTTTGACTTTATCAGTCATAAGCTCCAACATGGTGGTTTCGTAAGATACCCACAAAATAACTATTAAAGCAATTCTAATTGCCAGCAAGAAATCATGCTATGAAAAGCCAAGAATCTGAGATACTTCAGCTGTCTAGGACAAGTGTTTCTATCAGTGTGTGTAAACTATCCAGTCCTTAACCTGCTGTATCAACACAGCTGAGAGAGCCAAACACATTTAGCTACACTGAACATACATTAAGTGGCAAACACATCATTCTTCTACATATCAGCCCACCACAGAATGATCAGCCAAACACCACCACTAAGTGTATACAGACGTTAACACTTACCTGCTTCTGCTCCTAGATCTGCTTTTGCTTCTACTCCTATGTCTGTGTCTAGATCTTGATCTAGAACGAGATCTTATACGTCGTTTTCTCTCTCTGCTGCGAGATCGGGATTTTTTCCTATCGCGACTTCTGCTACGATGACGTCTGAAACACACATCCCAATTCTGACAGATATTCTCATGGTTTAATTCAGCTTCTACTTAAGGAGTTACACACAGGTTTGTCATCACAGGGCAAAATGCATCAGGAAGCCTGGGGAGACTGCAAACTACACATGGAAGAGTTCATGCCTGAAGCAGTTTAAGTTGTAAGGCTAGGGGATGAAATGGGAAATGAACCAAACACTACCACCAAGAGTTACAGAGTTTACATAAACAATTATACTCATCACTATAGCTGTTCATTTGTTCATTACAGTGCACATATCAAAACAAAACCAACCATACTAATCTGATGCAGGAGTCTGAAATTCAAGGCAACAAAACTCCTCCTCCCCATGCTATTCCAATAGCTTAGGGAAGAGATGACCAAATTTCAGCTAATGAGTCACACACAGTCCCTCAGTGTCTCATTAGCTGAAGCCTGTTCCTTGCTATCATGTTTGCTACAGATCCCTCAGCTATAACAGAGCTGCCTGAAAAGTTCTGCTGGCAGCAACTTGTTTGTTCCACGTAATTCTCCTACCATTGGTGTGCTAAGAGGCCTCAGACAGCATTGTCTCTGGGTAAGCTCTTGATTTATGGAGGTAAAAATCCATGACAGTGCTAAGATGTATTTTTTTTCCTGCCACTGACAACAGGGAATGTTTAATGCACTGTTTCTAACTTTTTCTATACTGCATATACTAATTATGACACACATCACTTATACGAAGCCTTAGAGCTATTGTGTACCTTTACTCAGAAACAAATAAAAAATTAAAAATCCCAAGTAGCAGCAAATGCAACACTCGGTGAAAACTGACACATGCAACAGAAATGGATGCTTTAGCATTAGGTCAGCAACGTAATTCATAAGCCTACACAAATTCTAAACCCTGCTTTTGCAATTGTACTTGAAACAGAATAATCATGCAAAACAACTTACCTTTCACGAGACCTTGATCTTGAATAACTTCTCCCTCTGGATGATTTCCTCTCTTTGCGTTTATGTCTATCCTCACCATTTTCAGATGAATTTAGGCTATCTCTTCCCTTGTCAGAAGAATGTTCTTTGTCATTGTGGTCTTCAGATTTGTGCTTCTTGGAGGACTTCTCTTTGGATTCATGTCTTCTTGCCTGTTTTAAGAAGAAGTTGGTTCTTTCAGGAAAATAGTGCAACAAAGAGAGTTAGTATGGGTATCAGAAGATAAAAATGATAAGTTGTGATGCAACATTAGTAACCTTAGGAGTGTGACTCAATCATGAGCGATGGCTATTTTACCTAATGCCACCAATTACCCAAAGCTGCAAATGCACTCTAGAATTTTTCCCCCCTTTTCCCTCCTCCCCACTGCCTAAAGGATTTGTTTGCATATAAGACTTCACAACACTGTAACAAAAGCAATTGGCAGTTACTGTCTCCATTCCAAACATGTAATAAGTACCTATCTTTAAATACCTGACCATTTCTGAATATGCATTTATACACTCACAGTGGATTTTTATTTAGTATATTAAAGTATACTTAATAGTGAATATTTAAGTATTTGCCTAAGTCTACTATGTAGAAAGTTACCAAAATCCATGCATAGTTGCACACATGTATTTTGCTTTTAGAAGCAGGACTTTTCTACCCATCAGTAGGTAATTACTTTTTAGTGCAAAACTCTTTTCAGTCAGTAACTTCCAACAGTTTTTACAAAACAAAGCAGTAAATTTACACGGTTGACATCCCAAACTTATTATTTAAAACTAACATGCATCACTGGGACCTCCTCAATGGTTTTAAATTAAAGATATGCTGCTCCACTATACCGCAATTTTTTCCTGCAGTGCCTCTTAAAAAAAAAGGTTCCTTTTTATAGCTGCAATGCCTAAAGTATTTAGCAAGGTCAGGCCTGATTTTTGCCAGTGTTTTCCTTAGAGACTAAGACATGACATCAACACCTTTTCTTAATATATCCAGTTTATTTTGAAATCTTCCTAGCACAGCATAGCCCACTTAAAATATTGTTTAAACATGAGATTTAAGTCAGAATTTAAGCATGATACACTCATTTCAGACCAAATCCAAATTCTTCAGAGGTTTTTTTGCTTATCTGTTAACTACTCATAAATCCTTTTCTATAATCATAACGTCCTATTTCAGCCTGGAGAAGGTGCTGTAATTAGCTCATATAACCCTTTGTAACTCCTTATTAATTTCTAGATATGCATTTGATTATAGCTCTTCAAGTTACAATGTTATTTAACCTGCTTTTACATTATTTCACACGTAACTCTTTGAACAATCAGCTGTTACATAAAAATACATCTAGTTGGAGATGTTACCTCTACATTAGTTTTAAGTATGTATTTACATTATTTGTTCTGATATTCAGTATTTAGCCTACAGAGAAAGAGCTTAATACTGCAAATGAATGAAAACATTACATCTAGGACATCATTCCTCATCTGTTCACGCTATGAAACTTAGAAACTGCTAAGTAAATAGTGTGGGATTAGATCCATCAGCATGGCAAAGCACTGGACACAATTATAAGTGATGTCTTTTTTTTAAGCTTTTTTATTTTTAATCCCATCTTTCAGGCACACAATTAGTAATACACCACCATTATATCCCATAACGGATTTAAGATATTTTTAAGGGAAATGAGTTTGAATGACTAATAGTTACCTTATCATGAAGTAGGCTTATAATTTTGCTATCTGAGTCTGCAGCGTCTTCAGTTCAGTCTCTTCGCGCATTAGCACGCTGAGTATGATTTATTATAGAAATGTTATCATGTGAGCTAAACAATATATTCAATTTCACAAAAACTCTCCTAGATTATTTTGCTTACTTTTTCTCACTCCTTTTTTAAACAGAGCTTCCATTGGAATGGGAGAAGAAGTTCCTGAACCGGGTTTAAAGTTAAAAAGTCCCTCATTTGACCCAGCCTGCTATTGCCCCACATGGCATAAGCTTCTTTGTGACTATTTTGATGCTTTTGATTTGCTCATTTCATCTCTTCTCTGGTGTGTAAACCAGTTATTTTCCAGGTATCATTGATGCCGTCTCTTCTCATTCCCCTATATATATACAGGCATATATATTTTTAAAAAAAGAAAGAGACAGTTCTCTGAAATTTTTGCTGCAATTGCCATACTTCCAGCTGACTCAGCCTGTTTGTCAAGCTGTGACAATCTTTCACAATTAAAGGATGCAATAAACAAAGCTCAGTCAGGTGAGGAATTATTTATCATAGATTTAAGGAGATGGGTATGTATCAGTGAAAGTCCTGAACATTGGCCAGGAATAAAGCCACCCAAGGCCTTCAATTAATGGAAGCTCTGTGAAAGTCAGCAAGAACACCATGCTACTTCTCCACATGAATTTTTTTCTGCTGTTTCCACAAAAAAAAAGTACAGAAAAAGAAAAGAAAATAAAAAAGTTACTAATTTCTGAAAGCATTTTCCTATAAAACTATTACCTTGTCAACATGAAGGCTGCAATCATGCTTCACTATGAAAGGATCTCCATATCCATTTTTAAGCTTAAAAGTTTCTAATTTCTTGTACTTACCATTAAGTCATATATATAGGTTTACACATATGTGCATTACTACAAGATACTTTTTAAGATGTATTGTACAATTACCTAAACGCTACAAAGTGTTAATTACCTCTTTGCTTCTGCTCCGGCTTCTGTGTTTTTTTCCTTCGGTATCTGCAGAAGAAAACATTTATTGTTGTTTATCAAGTTAGAGAGGAGGTCAGCTGGCTACAAACTTTCTAGCTCCTTACAGTTATTGCACCCCTAATTCACGAATAGATCTAGAAAACAAACAGCACTATTTAAGTATGTACTGTGGAAAGCAAACTGTAGCTTTTATTCCCAGTTTTCTGCATGTATTTAAACTCTGACAGTGAAAAATGAGACCATGTCATACTCTAGCTGCATTCTTCAGCCAGATAGCCCTACTTTTGTTACACCCATGCAGAAGTATCCCAGCCTAAGCACATGGAATTAAAATGAATACAAAGTAGCATGGTTTTCTGCTTGGTGTTGCCTGGCCTCCACCTGTCCCTCACCCCCAATCCCCTGAACAAGTTCCTTAGCACTTCTATCATTAAAATTGTAAAGTCTCAATATCACACATTTAAGATACAAACCAAAATTAGCAGCTTCATTTTTCCCAATTCTAGCAAATTACTAGAGCTAAGACTATTTTTTTTCAAAGCAGCTTTAAAGAAATTTCAGTTCTACAAGCACACACCAGAACATCACTAAGCAACTTTGCGCATATTAAGACCATACCTGACTTCCGTCGTCTTTCCCTTGACCGCGAGCGTGATCTTGAATAATGAGGCTTTGACGTTTTGGGAGAACTAGAGGCATCTGATTGTTCCTTTTTCTTCTCTCCTTCTGGAGAAGACTTTTCTGGAGCTACTCCATCTCGTTCTGTATCACTACCCTACACATGGGGACAGAAATTTAAAAAAAAAAATGCTTAGGACTGAAAACCAGAAAACCCTCTTTACTCAGTACTTCCCCTGAAGACACACTCAAAGTTATTTACTGTAAAGACAATCTCATGAGCAACCACCCTATTAGTAGCTAGGCAATAGCTTGATAGAGTTGTAGTGAACTGTGTAACTGCATACAGATTGATTTTTTTCAAGACCTTATTAAAGAAATCTAATTTATAGAAACATTTTGCTCTCCCACTGCGTCACACTGCCCTTTTGCCATGTGTTTTTGAGAATATCAGCAAGACTAAACTCTGAGCCACAGTTTTCTCTAAATGGCGGTGTTTATAAGTCATTTACCTTTTAAACATTTACATAACTAAGATTACTTAAGGTCAACACTGTCCCAACAGATCTAAGTCACCTTACAAGTTCGGGCATTACCGAGGCACAGCACAAAATCCCCATAGTATTCTGAAGTATGGAATGACCTATGAAATGAAATTAGGTATAGTGTCAGACAGCTAACTTTTGAATAAGGAAAAACCTCAAACAGTATCTCTATGTAGAAATATGATCTATATGTACTCTCATACAAAAACATACCTACCTGCCCCAACAATTTATCTGTCACATTTTCCTTAAACCTTGACCTAGGAGGATTAAATCTGTGTACAGCAGTCAAGACTGCTTTGTGATTCAACGCTGGGAGGAGTAAATGTGTACAACTGGTGTACCATGCAATAAAAGGAAAGGATGGGAAAAGTACACACTAAGAAGGGGACTGTGATTTCATCAATGCCTTTACAGATTCATCGGTCTCTGTTGTTCCAATCGTATCAATGGCAGTCAATCAAACCTCGTGACATCCTGTGGCAGCAGATTTCACTAAGGACGTAATTTGGCCCAGATGTGCTATTCATGAAGATAATTTCGCATAGAAGAGGACTCAAACTTGCAGTTTTCTACCAGCTGCAATTGGTAGAACTGCCTGCAATCTTAACAAGACATGTGAAAACCGCTCAAATGCTGATTTATATTCATTACTTTGAAAACAAAGCAACTAGGTTTTCTCAAACCACAACAGATTATTGTTACAGATTGTCACTAATATATTGTGTATTAATGGTAGACTTGGTTCACAACATGCTACAGCTGAATCTTTGGTATTTATATTGCAGCTACTACTGTTTTATCTGCCCAATTCCTTATTAATTCACACCTGTACAAGATGCACCTATAGAAAAATCCCTCTTTCAAGGAGATAAAGCAGCTGATCACTTCTCCAGTCATATGGTATACTGGTATCTAGTTTAAAACACACCAGCATACAGACAACAGCACCGATCACTTAAAACCGTGACTGCAGCAGAGCTTTAGCTACACTCTCCATGACACTTCTGAATACTACTGATACCCCACCCATCATCCTGGAAACCTGAAGCCATCAGAGCAGGAACTGACTCTCTTAATTGTGATCTTAGCCATCACAACCCTTGTCCTTCCACATCTATCTATCATCTGCTTATCTAAGCCTGCCCCCTTCACCTGAGATTCTCAAGTCAGCAAGAAGTTTGAAAGGAATTTTAAATTCCTATAAATTTACATTTCAAATTTACTTGAGGAGGAGAAGAAAAATGAATACCAGCTAAGCAGTCTAACTTAACTGGGTTTTTAAACATAGTATCCAAATGAAACTGAGCCCACTGCCTCTTTCCAAGGCTGTAAGTCTCATTATTTATACACACTGCTGCTCATTAATGCCCTAAGGTGCAATGCACCTTGGAGAAATCTCTCAGCTCTACAAAAACAGCAGGAAAAAGCCGACAGACTTCAACGAACCTATTCTCAGCTCTTGGATTGGCCACAGGTTCAGGTTTCCTCGAACAAGCCCCTCACCTACTTTTGAGGAACCTCAAAGACAGCGCCTATGATCTTGGCGTAAAACTACAAGTACATAATTCTCCAAGTCCTTTTACAATAAAATTTATCTTATTCTTAACAAGTTAAGTGTTATATATATAAAAGAATGCATCATTAAAAAAAATAATCATTTTCTCCAGAAGTTTGTGGTCCTCTTGCTGTGTTTCACGACTCGTCAAAGTTTAGACAAGAACCTTAAAATAGAAGAACAACTTTAAGTGCCAGATTAAAGACTACAAAATACTTAAAGTCAACTTTGAAGAGTCTTATTACTTTTGAGACCAGTTTACTTGCTTTTTAGTTTGGGGTTTGTTGGCTTTTTTTTTTTTGCACTCAAAACTATTTTGTAACTTCTGAAAAGAAATTAAATTGGGTTGATAACTGTTCTTAGCAGTTCTTTGACTCAATCACAGGACAAATGCCTTTGTATGCTACCAGGCCACACAACCTCCTTTATACATTACCAGGGTACAGAAATTTTAGAAGACAGTAAAGCCACACTCTTAGGCCGTGTATAAACATAAAGGACAGTGGTAACTACAGCACAGGAACTTCCTATATAAACAAACTATAAAAACTGGAAAATGAGGGCAAATAATTATTACTCAGTGCAAGCTGACGCTGAAAACAGCACATCTATAGCCAAACACAAAGAAAAAAATATAGGACGGGGAAACCTACACGAATGAAAAGCGAGCAGAGGCCAACCTCCAGAATGATCCCTCTCTTCTCCCCTCCCAGGCAACCTGCGCCCCACAGCCCGAGAAACGCCTACTCTTATGGCTACATTATTTCTCTCCCAAACGAGAAAACGACAGGGCCTCCATCATAAAGCCTCTTCGCTTCTCCCCGAGCCCAGCGAAATGAAACAGAAACTTCTGGAAACAGGGAAAGAAGTAATGGGTGAAAAGCGGCCACCCCCTCCCCGCGGCTCATCATGGCGCCGACAACCGAAGGAGCGGCGGGCGCCATTTTGTCTCTCCGCGCACACGGCTTCCCGACCCAGCCCTCCCCGTCTCACACGCTCTTTTCCTCCCGCCCCGTAGCAGCCCGCTTCCCCAACTCGCCTTCCTCCCAAAACCTCAGCAGCGAACGCCACTTACCGCCATGACCGAGCGCCCGGCACGTCGCTCCCCCTCAACAAGCCTTCACAACGGGCTCACCGTCCCTCAGCCACCGCGGCCGCTGCGCTCGCGAACCGAGGCAACAAGCCCCACCCTCCCTCTAACCCTCCAGGCGCCCGGATGTAGGTGTGGGGCGGGGAGCGAGGGGGCCGCAGTGCCCTCTGGGAGAAGGGAAGGATTAGGCGGCGTCTAAGCAGCGCCGCCGTCCGCGTTTGGAGGATGATTGGCCCAAGCTGCGAACCGTAGCGCCAGCCAGAGTTCCCGCCAATTTGAAAGCCTGAAGCCGCTGAGGGGGCCGGCTGTGGTCTGTCACCGGCCGTGGGGCCGCGGTGAGGAGACGAAGGGGACGGCGGATGGCGAATGGCGGGTGGCTGTGGTAGGGGCGTCCGCGGCGTGCTGCTGAGCGCTCTCCGGCATGGGATCGCTTCAGCCTCGGGCGCGGAGCCTGTCCTGCCGAGCTGCGTTCGATCGGGCCCGCTGGGGACACGAGCTGGGAGCCACATTGCTGCTGCGACACTGGCGTTTCTAAACATGCAGGTTGCTTTTAGGACGCGCAGTGAACCGCCCTGCCTCCTAGGCGCTATTCATGATAGGATAATAAAATAAATAACTTGTGTGTGGTCATGTAGCTTTTTTAAAGTTTTCGCTTTACAGCGTATTCCTCGTATGTTTATCGTAGGTAAAAATGTGGAATGATATTGAACTTCTTACAAATGATGACACAGGGAGTGAGCGGCTCCCTGTAGGTTTAGGACATGAATGTGGAACTGCGTTGTATCAAGTGAATACGCTGCTTCAAATCACATCTTCAGAAAAGGTAGAATTCACGAAGCTATGTTTTTCTTAACAATTACCAGGGCTTCTTTGTCGCATTTTCTAAGTTTCAGTTACTGTATTTAATGACTTTTTTCTTCTTAGGTCTCCGTTAATCCGCAGTTGTGTGCATTCAACTCAAGGGATGGCACTATTATTGTTGTTGACGCATCAGTGGCGCTTCTTGACAGTACAGGGCAGTCTCTCCTGATGCATGTTCAGTTTGGTAAGTTCATTCATTTGGAATTCCGCTGGAAGCTAAAACTGACTTTCAGAATATGTATGTTGGGTTTGTATAGGAAAATATAGCAAGAATCTTCCATATCTATCTCGCTTGGAAAAGGAATTATAATATTATATAATTATATTATATATTGTATTATAATAGATACATAAGTAATAAGAAGTGATTGCTGTTTCTGTATACAATAACTATTTCTGTGCAGTTTAATGAAAACACTCACTAGCTTTTCACTGAAATGGGAATAATGGCTATCAAACCCACTCCCCTATGCCCTCTCCTGTACTTTGTTTAATCAAAATAAATACTTATGAAGCCATCTCAGGCACTGTCTAATTCCTGTGTTTCAAATATAAATGCCTATTAATAAAAAACAGATCTTAATTGACATTTGCCATGGAACTTTTCAGATACTAATGTGGATGTTGTCGGCATGTGTCAAGAAGAACAATTTCTTGTGGTCGGTGAGAGAAGTGGCAATTTCCACCTTATCCATATACCCTCAAAACAAACCTTGCTAACCAAGGTACAGTAATTTTTCTATTCCAATTTTGCTAAAAACCTTTTGTTCTCTGAATTTCTTGAGCTATTTTTATTTCCTTCCAAATATAAAACTATAAACATTCTTGTGTTTCCAACATGCCTTCTAGTTTGATGAAACAAACAGATTGAAGCGATTCTTTTGTTCCCATAAGTAACAAATAAGGAAAATGTATTTAGGAATGGCATGTGTAAACAAGATTAAATTTCTTCATAAAAGAAAAAAGTTTAAAGTTTAAACTGATGATCAGTATTTCCAATACATTTGTGTCAAATAAAGTACAGAATAGTTTAAGAGTCTCTTTGTTGATTCTATTTTAGATTTTGGTTGAAAAATCTTCAAGTGAAAGGACTTACTTAAATCTCTTTATTGAAAAAGATAATGCAAATGCAGGTAAGAATTTGATCCCCCCTGTTGTCTCAATTTTTGTGATTTTGTTCTCCTGGGGAAAGAGACTACAAAATAAGTAGAATCATAGAATAGAATCACAGAATTGTTAGGGTTGGAAAGGACCTTAAGATCATCTAGTTCCAACCCCCCCCCTGCCATGAGCAGTGACACCTCACACTAAACCATTTCACCCGAGGCTCTGTCCAACCTGGCCTTGAACACCGCCAGGGATGGAGCATTCACAGCTTCCCTGGGCAACCTATTCCAGTGCCTCACCACCCTTACAGTAAAGAACTTCTTCCTTACATCCAATCTAAACTTCCCCTGTATACGTTTTAACCCATTACCCCTTGTCCTATCACTACAGTCCCTAGTGAAGAGTCCCTCTCCAAAGAGATTCTTTGTAGTAGTAATTTGTAGTAGTATCTGACTTTGTAGTCAGATACAGCTTTACTTTGCACTATACACATTAAATATGTTTTTCCTAAATGCTTTTCTGTGAAGATACTTAGCTTGTTAATTATTTTATGAATGTCATAGAAAACAAAAAACATTCAGAACTCAGTACCTCTTTTGAGACTGCTAAATGCTCAAAAAGGCAGCATTCCTTCTCTCTCCTGTCAGACTTCAGATTTTAGCAGTTCCTGTTCTATAAGCTTCCAGTCTTATTCTGTCACAATATAATGTATTTAAATGTAGTTTTGTCATGAAAACAGAATTTGCAGTCTAATGGAAGCATACAAACATCATAACTTCTAACAAAACTAAAATGTACTAACTTATTCTACTCTTTGTTGAAGGTGACAACAGTTTGGTTTAAAAATCATATATTGGTCAGGGTTTCTTTTGTCAGTTATTTCACTGTCTTATTTATAACCAAGTAGTCTCTTTACTTGCTCTTTAACATTTAAATTTGAAATATTTGAATTGGATTTTTTTTTAGGTGTTTATCACATGTTCATTCTCACAAGCAATGGATTCTTCTGCATTATGTGTCTCCCACTTGCTAAAACACAGGAAGGTAGGATGATCTACAAACCACTTGAGATTTCCATTTGAGCAGGAAGAACTGTATTAAAAAAAAGCTTTTTCATGCATTTTTTCTAATGGGAATAAGATACAGACTTGGGATTTTCTATATGATGTCAGTTTGTTTGTAAGGGGAAACCAATATACTGTAATAAAATCATTTTTTTATTCCTCCAATAATTCCTTTGGCTTATGTTTTTCTGAGTCACTGCTTTAGGGAGAGTCCTGAATACTATGGAAGCAGGATTTTAATACATAATCAGTCTTAGCTGTACTGAAGAATATTGGGAATCATTTAAATTTTTGATACTGTATAAGCAGAGTTAGTAGTTAATTTTCTGTAACTCAGTACTGCAATCAATAAAATAAACCCTGTCAAAGAACCCAGCTAAAGTGTTTTTCAGCAGAGTCAGGTTAGGATTAAACTATCCTAGATGAAGTTCAGGGGCTTTTTCTCAATCCTGAAAAAGTTCATTTAACTGATGTTTTCTTTGTTTTGTTTTTTTGATGTAGCACTTGACAAGATGGATATGATTACAGCAAAGAAAGTAAGAAAAACCTGGTAACTTGTAACATAGGTATTAAGTTCAGAGTTTAACAAAACTGCATTGTAAGTTTCACAGAATACTTAGCAGTTTATTATTACAACTCAATTGTGATTATAATGTTTTCTATACATGGAAAAGTAAGCAGTTCAAGGCTTTATCTACTTATTGTATAAACAACTTTTTTACTTCCCCTTTTGTTTATTTTCCCTTCATCTTCCACCCCACAAGTTACAAGGACAGATAAAGACAGCTTTCATTTCCACAGAAGAATATCACAGCCTTGGCTGTCAGAATTTTGTGATAAGCAACTCAGTGAACAAAATCCATCTGATAGTTGGGGTAAGTAATATGAGTGTGTTTGTAGAAATTGTTATGTGATCAGTGATGGTGTTTTTTGACCTGCAACAAAATTTATCTCTAGCTGGTCGGTAATTAACTTTTTGCACAAGGACTTTTTGTCTTTAATTTCCTTCACTGTAAATTTAAAGGTTACGAGTTGTGCAGTCTGTCCATAGTTATTTCTTGTAACTTGCTCTTTTATGATGGATGGGGGGAAAATATTTTCACCCTGGTTGCATGGCCTTAGTAACTGTGTTTGCGAGCCGTGCAAGATAGTCTGAAGGACTTTGTCCTTCAGCTCAGACGCAAAGCTAGAATTTGTGAGTCTTCTAATCAAATTCACATTCCATGAAGGCTTGCCAAAATAACAATTAACGTCTCAATTCAACAAAGCTCTTAAGCATGAGTTAAGTACAGAAACAAGTTCATGACTGAAGCCTGTTGAATTCAATGTAATTTTTCTCAGTAGGTTTAGTGTGCATTTCAGGTTTTATGCTCTGTGAGAATCGAAAGGGGATATTTTGAAATATGGCATGTTCTTTGAAGACCTAAAAATGTTTAGGGGTGCTAACAATTACTGTAGTAAAGGTCAGTCTTGAAAGGAGAAAGGAAAAAGAGTAAATTGAATATAAATAACTGAATATGTTCTACTGAACATCAGCATTCACCAGGAACAAAGTTTGAGTGGGTTTTCCAGCATTGCAAGTTAAAGGTCAATTAAACAGCTGTCAATGGCCAAGTTTCTAACGTATAACCCCGTTTTACTTTGCCTTTATTAACAGGGTAGAGGTGATTATGTACTCTCCAAATGGGAGGTAGACACTACCAATAACTTGGTGTCTGTTCGAAGTTTTGCTGATTCAAGTCTGATCAAAGGTAAAGAAGAGTTTGGTTTGTGTTTGGTTCTCAATAGGCAATTGTAGAATTCAGATTCAATTGCAGAAAATACTGAGACATTTTCAGTTATGTCACTGTTGTTAGTAAATATGCATATACCAAGTAGAACACTTCTTGTAAAGCGACAGCCAAACTGTGCCTCAAAATGGTTGAGTTTAATTTAGATACCTAAATCGCAATTCTTTTTAAGCTAAACTTTTCACAGTCTTGGGAATTTCCATGAGGTTAAACATCTGTAGGTTTGCAATACTTGGTTGTACATTTTAAGGCTTTT